CGCAATTGCGCAGACCGGCCCACTACTACGTATACATGATGTAAGCATAACCTAGATCCTTGCTGCCACTGCTGCGGCCTGCCAACAAGCAACCAACCGACCGACCGACCCACCAACCCACCGACTAACCAGCAAATCCATCACAAGCACTATATCCTGGTGGGGTAGGGGCATCGGCGGCGGTGGTGGACAAGAGACACTTCGGGCACTTTGATGTTTCTTTACGGAAATGTCTCTTTATTCACTGAATTGGTGCATTCTTGTGTTGGCCGGTACCATTTTTTATGCCATTATATTCATTGTTTCGAATGTTTTCTAGTGGCTAGAGAAAAGGAAGGTAAGAATTGACAGTGTAGTCTTTTAGTAATTATATGAAAGAAAGCTTATAATATGTTAGAAAATTTTACATCTTTTCTAAAGAAAATCAGGATGGACCGCGTCCAACAGCCAATGTCAATCACTTTTTTTGAGGTGAAGGTTTCTTTTTCGTGTCAGAGATGCACAGCCACGGCTTCTGGAACGACCGAAACTTCGGACCCTGGTAGTAGAAAAAGATAAATCATATTTAGAGATATATTACACAACTGTTAACTTGTGCTTTGGTGAAGCAGCATGAAGGCCGAAATTGGTTTCTTTGATATCAAAAAGGGCTAGGCAGCAAGTTACCTGAAGCGGTGCCCGATGCCTCATACGCAATTCAAGACGTCCACCGACGGCTTTGCGTCCATCCATGAGGTCATAACTTGCGGTGTGAGTCGCTGAGGTCATCAAATCGTTCAGCTTTACCGTCACCGCTCCCAGCACTCCTGGCTTTTTTAGTAACCCACGATTGTAGTACACCTGCAAGCAAGAACCAGCAGTTACTGATAATTACTGTGGCAAAGCGCAAGATCATTGGTCAACAGCCAGAAAAGGGAGTTGAGTAGACCTAGCTGGGCTTGGCTTACTCCATGTCAGACTGTTGTAGCAAGGCCGTGAACAGCATTGAAAAGCCATCAAAGCAATGACCGATTCCCCTCTATCAAAACAAATACAATCGATTTTGAAGGCTTCTACTTACGGTGGCTTTGATTGACTTGACGCCTTGCAGCAAACGCTCGTAGGACTTTGCATGTCTGTTGACTTCGAAGCGAGCAGAGGCTTGGTAGCCGCCATAATCCGTGGGCTCGTTGGTGTGTCGAGCCCACTCGGTAGAATGTTTTTGCGGGGAATCGGAAGATGGGAAAGGGAGCTCAATGGTAACATAGGTGTCCAAGGAAGATGGGCTGCTGACGCCTGGGGGGACGGGGAGGGAGATACCGCGAACTGCGGTGACCTCCAGCACTCCGTCACCCAAATCAGGATTCATATTCAAACACGGCAGATTGGCCATCTCAAAGCTATACTGAGGCACACGCGACCGATGCTTGTAGGCGGTTGTGAGAGCTATCCACTTCCGAGAGACGTCAGCGAGGTCAAAGATCTTGTCAGCGATTTGAGACAACCCAGCCTCACGGAGACTTTCAGACAACCGGGAAGCTTCTGTTGCCTGGGCTTCGAGTTGCCATATCAACTTATCACAAATGGCTTGGGAATCTAAAAGAGTGAAACGTACAAAATGGATTCCAATGGGTAAAGAACATCTCAGAGACCGAAAGGCTGTTTAAACACTTTCCACTAACTATGTGTCCATAATATGTCCCTGGACACGCACATTTTTGTAACAAATACACCATACAGACACAAAAGCCAAAAATCCCAATTGTCTTTAAGGACAAATTTTAGCAGAAAATCAGCTGGCGAACAATTAACACTATCCACTCAGAAGAAAGGCCAAATTAAATGGAATTCGGGACACACTACAATTTCGAAGGTGAAGGATGCCCGTTTAAATAAATATTGGCACGAATAAGGTACTGAGACATTAAAAGAAACAATAACGTGTACCCAAACTACGCCATGGGGCTTAACAAACCTGCCTTCGATCTGTGAGGATGCGTCAAGTGACAGAAAACGTGTTTTTTTCTGCAATTTAAGGATGGTGCACTCACCCTTCCCCGCTTCGACCAGAGCGGTTTGGAATTCGACGGGAGGAGCACAGGCGACGCCCGAAAGAATCGGCTGAGAGGGGCTTCCTGATGCTGGGCCCTTGCCCGAGTGGGGAGCTGGCGGAACCTGCTTGAAGTCAATAGGCAGCCCCGCGCCCACCGACCTAATCATGTTGTTCATGCCGAGGGACAGGCGGAGGTATTCGCGCGCCTCATTCATGTCCCCACGGGCCTTTGCGTGGGCGGCGGCCGTTCGCAGCTCAGCTTGACGCTGCTTGAGCAACTCGAGCGTCCGAGAACGCGCTGACGACGACGACGAAGGTGCGGGTTGTGAGGAGGAGGAGGAGGTGGCGGCGGCCGCTGCACCAGCAGGCGGTGCGGCCGAGGTGAATTGGGGGCAACCGGGCAGCGGATTGAGCTGGCCGTAGTTGAAGCGCACACCAGTTTCCAGAGCACGAAGAGCCTTAACATAGGACGCGTGGGTTCGCTCGTACAGACGCTTGTTTGAGGCGTCTGAGCTTTGAATCATCGCCTGAAAGGAACAAATCAACAGGCTCTACTTAAACAGACAGGGGGCCAGGCAACAAAACTTGTCCGGTTCCAAATTTTGCAGTAGAAATTGCCACGGATTAGTTTGCGAGGGTCGTGAACTAAGTCACTGAACGAGTGCTGTTTGCTTCGAGGTACTTAGCTGGACTGCGAAACTGGGGCATGCTGAACCAAATTCAAGCCTATGCGATATTAGAATTACTGGTAAACATAACAACCAGAAGTGGCCATTTGAGGTGAAGGTTTGGACAATCACGTGAATAATGATATGGCTATGCAAATTCAGGTTGCAGGAATTGATTTTCAGTTTCAAAGTGTTAGGAATGGACACAAGTAGTGCCGTTTTGATCATTTTACTTTCAGTGAAGATCAGTCCACAAATTAATACCCACATTTTTTTTTCTCCATTTAATTTAAAAGGCGGCATTCTCCTGAAGAGACACGTTGGGAAGCAGGATGCCTTACTCCACATCCCTAACTTTGTACTTTGCGATTCTGACGCCGAATTTTTGCTCGAAAATTGAAGGCTGACCAAGAATTCACGTGGATTCTGCCTGCATTGTGTTCCATTGTTTTGAACACCTTCGCACTTGAGATAATAACGCTTTAATCTCCACGACCAATGCTCGAGTAGTTTGCTTGGGACGGGCTTCAAGTTCTACCAACACTGGTTATCTGTCGAATTCAGTGGTTTGCCTGACGTCAATTAGTTACAGAAGCCAAGGACGTATTTTCTTAAGTCTTGATGTTGATTTCTAGAGCACGAGGATGTAGAGAAGTACTAGCACTAGTTGACGTTGGTACCCCATCAAAACACGTGAATCATCACATACAAAGTATGCACACTATTTGTGGTTGAACTACCATTCAATTACCGCGCACTTAAATTACTTCAAACGTAAACAGCAAGAATCGCACCCTATTTCCGCAAATTTTAACCATTTACTAGATTTCTATGCGCTCACGAACAACACGACCACGTTTGTTTAATTCAACAATTGGAATGCCGCTACGTGTCACCACCCATTACAGTCTGAGAGGCCCAACAGTAATTCAATTACGCCTCTACGCGCACCCACATACACCAGAGTATCTATAGAGGGCCAAATTGTCATTGTCAGGCCCCAACAACAAGGCAAGATAGTGCGGGCTTATCTTACGCTCTCACGTCAACAATTCTTTAGAAGATGCCGCCAGCATTCCGATCTCGCAACCACAAGCCTCACCATTTTACTTAAAGGGAATGTGAGCATGGGGTGCAGAAACGGTACCAGGGATTTGGGGGCTATCGATTAAGTCAATTGATCGTGTAGAATTGACAACCTACGACGGGACCACTACACCAAGCATCTACGGCTATTTTACCACAGACAAATAGAGAGAATCTGATTTTGTGCTTCCGATTGAAAGGCTGACTCGGAACGGTGGCCGCCTTCTAAGACCGATTCAAACGCTGTAACTTAAACTACTTCTCTGTGTTTAGCCGGTTAGATCTTGTGAGTACTGCATCCAGCCCAGTAATAGCACGCCAGATGAGTTCCTGGGGTAAATTTAGGATGATTAGCCTGGTTGGGTGTTTATTACTGCGGTTGACAAACTGAAAAAATACGATGGTTTGGAGGTTTTGTGCAAATGGTGAAAAAAAAGTATCAACATTTTCTGAGCCAAAATGGACGTTTATCTCTCAAGGGCTCGTGGGCATTTAAAAATTAAGACTTTTTTTCACAATCTGGGAAAGACAGTGCCTGCAAAGTCTGAGAGGCCACTCCAAGAGGACTTCAATAGCACGAGGACATAAAATGGTTCTGTGTCCAGGTCCAATGCGAAATGGCACCTTTGGTACAAATCAACCTCTGACAAGCAGGTATAATACTTCCAATAAATACAACGCGGTCAAATGAAACATGGGGTGATTGAAACAGTTTCAAACCCCGACTCGACGCTGACATTCAAATTTTCTGAACCAACCAGCAACTGGGTTCGATTTTCTCAAGGACATTGGCATTACTCGTGTGTGCTCGCTTTCATAGGCACATAAATAGTTAACTAAAAATAGGCCTAAACAACTCAATCTTACGTTACAACAAAGTGCACAAATGCTACCGCCCACATAGCGATGAGGAAGAACGATCTCCAGGTGCAACGCCAAATCGAAGGAAAAATTGCTTGAAAATGCCGAAAAAACCTTAAATTTGACATATTACAATGTGATAATTTATTTAACACTTATCGATTCATTCAAAATCACCTTGATCACCAACTTGACACTTGTTGTTGTTGTTTGTTTTCACACATTTCTGCAAATCTTAACTAGTGGTGCCTCCAAATGACAACTAATAAAATTAATAAGTGTTAACTCCGAGGAACAGAGAAGAACTGAGTTAGAGGTTTGACTACAGTATCGAAAATTGTAAACAATAAAAGGAAACAGTGATTTTTGCGCCTAAACATCGTAGAAGAAAACAAGCATTTCATTGTTGGGTGTGCTTGTTGTTAATTACTAGGACAGAAAGGCGACAGCTAATGGGTGACTGGACTAGTCATGAGTATGAGTTAACAGGTCAACGAAGTACGGAATTAAAGATAACGTGAGGCATTATAGAAAAATAAGAGTATCTAAAATTGTGCCCTCGAGGCGTGGCGAACAGTCGAATAGAGCACTTCTAGGCAATTTTTTTTAAATTTAGCCAAAAAGTGGCTGCGTCCATAACTGCCCAGTAATTTTCACCAAAAATACCACCCTAGCATTCCATTCATTTTTCATAAGCTGTGATATGTACTCTACGCTAAAAACAACAAAAGCATTGTTCGTTTGGGTAAACTACGATGGCGGCATGAATAGGCATATGCCACTAGAAGTAGCTAACACACAGCATTGATTAGGGTATATTAGATATTTCCACTAAACGAGAGGAAATATCGTCAATTGACAACAACCCCAATGAGCGGTTAAAAAATCTTATGGCGAAACGTTCATTAAGATTTAGATGTCTGTTGAGTTAATAGCCTTACGTTGAGGAGCTGTATTCTTGCCGTGAGGGATTCCTTGGTGGCCACAGTTGACGATGCAGCTTTCGCAATAGCAGCCATTGCAGGGTCAACGGGTTGAGGTGGAGCTGGAGCAGTCGATGTGCCGGATTGCGGCTCCGCGGATAGCTCAGCGAGAGCCTCGGGTGGCAGAGAAAATTGTTCGGGAGGTGGAGGCATGTCGGCGGGGTCGAATTGCTCCACTCCGGACTCAATCAATGGAATCGACCCAGCCAGTGCATCAACTGCAACCATCAACTCCTTTTCACGAAGTTTGTTGCCCTTTGTTTTAGCTAATGCAGCTGCTCTCTGCAACAAAAATCACACAATTGGAGTATGAGTCACACATCCAAAAATGACCGAAGCTTGAAAGGAACCAAGACTCACCCTATACTCCGCGAGGCGCTCTTTTAATAGCCTAATGTGTTCCGGTGGAGATTCTGATGACGTTGTCGTTTTGGTGTTCGAGGTTGTCCCGGTAACATAATCTAAAACTATGTTTTCTCCTGTTTTTCGCTGTGGCTTTTCCTGTAATTAAATAAGCGGTGCATGTATTGCAAATCCAACTGGTGTATAAAGCACCGTGCATGCGTGTGTGTGTATGCAGAACATAGAGTCGCATCCTTTTACTAGAACCTTTACTAACCGTTGACGTATGTTTAGGTGTTGGGGGAGCAGCTGGAAGGTCCTCCAAATTAACAGAAATATTGCACTTTGCTTTCGCAGCCATTGACTTCACCGAGGCTAACATTCTTTCATATCGGCGCAAACACGCATTCTCGGTGTCAGTGAGAGCATCAGCAGAAGACCTAATCGATGAAATTGCATCTTCGAAAGCCTTTTGTCGTTCCAGAATGACCGCCAGTGTTTCATTTACAGAACTGGAGGGGACTGTAGGTACATTGGACGGGGTTTTTGCACTTTCTGACACCTCGGATTCGTTATCGGAGACACCAAGGTGTGTTTTCAGGCTAGACAATAACTCCATCTCGTCTTCACTAACTTGACCACCAAGATCAGTCTAACAATGAAGGCCAGGGAAGAACAAAAGTGGTGTTAGTAAAAGCACAGCTCTTTAAAGCATGCAAAATGATTTACATAGTAACCATTAGATGATTGCGTTAGAGTTAATTGTTTAGTTTCTTTTAAATAAAGTGAAGGGAAGTGTAAAAGCCAGGAGAAAGGATCAAATTCGGGGATCGGTAAGTCATCAATAAAAGTGACGATAATATGTTAGAGGGAACTTGCAGAAAGTTCCCGAAACGACTGTACCCAAAAGAGCAGACTTAATTTACAGACGGACATCTAAGCAATGAACGGATACAACAATACAACATACATACAATACACATCGAGATTAAAAACAGCTAAAATGCCTAAATTAAACGGAGAGGCAAGCAAACATACAACGGAACTCACGGAACGGCGAGGATGAGTCTCTCGGGTTTTCGGTCCCTCCTTGTCCGTGTCGTTGCCAAGCGTAGCAGCAAGCTCCTTTTCCAAAGCTGCATCATCAAATTCCAATTCACTTGGATCCAAATCAAGCCGAAATGATTCATCTTTATGACCTTTACCGTGACCGCCGATCGTGACCGGCTCCCCCCGAAACTGACCACTTCCTTGGCTCTTAAACAAATGAATCAAGAAAATCGTTCACAAAACTGCCATTAAATATATAATATATCTGCAAATACATAGTTCGCCACAAAGCACATATGATCTAAATAAAGAAACACTTGAAATAAAAATGCAAAAGCTCACTGAGAGGTGAGAAGGAATCGCTTTTGTTAAAGGTTTTTCTTCATCCTTGTCGCTACCAAGCATGGCAGCTAACTCTTTTTCCAAAGCTGCTTCATCGAACTGTAATTCATTCGGATCCAGATCAAGTCGGAATGGGTCGTTTTCGTGGCCTTTACTGTGACCGGGAGTCTTAGCTGGCTTCTTACGGAACATAGTGCCCCTCTGGCTCTAAACCAACTAAATCAATTGAAGCGGTAAAAACATGTGCAGCAACATTATTAATAATTTGGAATCTAAGAAAACATTTCACTTTATAACATTGACTGTGTCTACCATAAAAATGCACACATGTTATGCAGAAGTTTAAATCTTGCCTTAACACTTTGGCGGATGATTTATGGGCATTTATGAAACTACAGAAATGCCGGCCGATATTTAGAACTCTTTACTGGCAGTAAGCTAAGCCGTTGAAAGGATTTTTTATCAAGTTAACATTCTAGATCAGTTTATGCTTGTTAGTGAAAGAATAATTTAATTCCTGATGAGAGTCTCTCGTTCTAATTTCACGATCGGTGCATAAGAGCCATGAATTTGCTTAAAAAGTTTTGTTGAAACTTTTTTTAGACATTTATGTGATATATGTTGCTCATCTAAAGCGTAAAACAAGGAAGGTTTTGATGATTGAGGCAGGTGTATGGAGACCTAGCACAAATGAGTGCCAGAAACCATTTCTAAAATTAGTTTCTCGCGTCAACGTTACCAAATTCAATTACTGAACAGGGGCATTACATGATAAATTATTTGCAAGGTTCAAACGATAAGAGAATTCCCGAAGCTTATAAATATCAAGTAGTTAGCAGACTGAATACCTTTATCCAAGCAAACCTATAATTGTTATTACCTCATCCATGTGAGATATATTCCAGATGATGTATAAATGTTCACTCCCCGACCGGATGCCATTCAAACGCAGTGAGCACCAAAGGAATGCGATATACATTAATTTGTTAAAAAAATATACTTTAGTTTTATTATATAGTAGCAAATTAAACACGTAATCATTATACAGGAATTGTTTTTTGTGGTGTGAAGGGATTACGTTCACTCCATCGCTTCGAACCACATTACTATATTTAATTTTGATATCAGGTTTCGTCACGCAAAACATTGTAACCTAAATATCAAAATAACTATCTGAGAATTTCAAAACATAAGCAAACTGCAAGCTTTAAAGTCTTCCTGAAAGTTTCGGATATGTAAAATTTCTCGGAATTCTGATATTTTTTCGTTATGCTTACGTTCCAATCTTTTGGCATTATTCCTTTATTTAAATTAGCTTGTTTCCCTGCTTTTCCCAGAGACACGTGACCCCATGATGTGCTTTGTCTTCCGTGAATTAGAGATTTACGTTTACTTTGATTAATTTGTCTTTTATCAACCTTGATTAGCAAAAATTTTAAATAATGGATAACTCAAAGTTACGGTAAAACGAAGATTTTAGTTTGTCGCTTGACAAAGAACTGCTCCTTTTAAAAAGCTGACATGAAGTTTAAAATTTTTGTTAGTACCATGAATTCTGTATTTGTAGACACCTTATAAGTGACATCAATTTTGACGTTCGATAGTTGGTTCCCGCTCTAACAATTTTTATCAGCGCTTGACGTAAATGTAGTGCGAATGCGTGGATTAAAATTTTCATTATATTATAGAGTACAATCTAGTGCATATGGTTCAAGGCTAGTCGATATTTCTCGTCAAAAATAACGGGAAGGAGTGTCGTCTCTGATAGATGGTATTTGCGACAAGCAACGTTTATAAATCATGCATCTACTCAAAGATACTTTCCAGTCTATTAATCAAAACTTTAAATTATTTTATTACCTATGGAATTTTATATCCCATGTTACTGACGTTTAATGACCCGCCTCTGTGTAGACAAATAAATATTTGCTTTTGGAAATTCAAATTCCATTAAAATTGAGTTCGCGTCACTCAAACAACTATGTTTGAAGTAATGCACATAATTTGGGAGATTTTAAATATGAATATTTAACTTTGCCTAAAAATAAACCGGTGCTCACATGGTTGCAGCAATCTAACCAATGTGTATTATTTCAATGTCATTACTTTTTCTAATCATACCAGTAAGCATGGCTACTTATTGATAAACCTTAAATATGAGGGCCTTCGCTCGGAGCTTTAAAAATTACGCACCACTAAAGGGAATTTTCGAATTAGGCACCATTATCCGATCCCATGCACCGTTTAGGCAGCTTTTAGTCATCCCTTTTGAAGACCCACTCAGTAAAAAGCTTTTTAATCAAATTCTTGTAGATCTTTCATAGCATCTAACATATCGGTGCACAGCGGACTTTGTCTCTCTGTACCGTGTTATCTTATGTCAGCCGCCTCCACTTCTCTCACTGTTTGAATAAATCTTTACAGATGGTGTCTTTTACTATCTAGGGATTCTTAAATCTCATATCGCAATCTACCTGACCTCAATGTTCACCGTACACGAGGAGGATAGCGCTCCAAAAATAAGTACATTTTCCGTGACTAAAGGTCTCGAAGGCAACCGAATCCCCATGAAAGAACCAGATAAGCACGTTGCTGGGTTATACGAAGTGAGTAATCTATTCTACATGTAATCAGACAATCGAGATCATGTATCACGAGATGTCGCGACCAAATTACGGCTAACAAGCAATTCCCAATCAGGATCCAGATTTCTGGAAACCTTGATTTAACTGGCTGTTAAATACTCTGATTTTTTTCATGTTTGGAAGCTTGATATGCACAAAGACCTGTTTATGAAATCCTACATTTGGAATATTTTGCAGACAAATTACGTGAATACACCATTTCATACACGCTTTCAAATCCGCCAAACCCATTTATCTTGCAGACATGACAAGCGTTTGTCTCTAACATCCAGGGATATTTGAGGGACTCTCTTTCCTAGTAATACTTTCTCCACCTCCATCAACCATTCGCTAAATTCACTCAATGATTTATCTTTCTGACAAATAAGTATTTCGGTCAGATGTACGTGTGTGTGTGTGAGTGTGATACAAAGGATACTCGTTTCAAAAAGATGTCACTGATGAGCTATATAGTTAACCGGGATCGTTATGCACGAGTGGAAACAGTCACAAAGAAGCTTATTATGGTCAGATACATCGAAAAAAGGACATGAAAACACATGCGAGTGAATGTCAAGGTGGGAGGAGGGAGAATTCACCGGAACCTTCAGGCGAGAACTCGCGATGCGGCGCATCATCAGGGACTCGGAGATTCGGCGTTGGAGGCAGATTGGGCGGGACTTGTTGCTGACACTGAGCAGGCGCTCGTTGTTTGTGGGACCGATTGCTGTCGGCTGAAATTGCTCGGAGTTGCCACCGTCCGAGGCTCACCGCTCGACGTCGCAGGTGAGTACTGGGAGAGACATTCATCCGTCTACAAGGTGGTGGTCACTTCGACATTACTTGCGTTAGACAGAAACTCGTGCCGCTTGACGCGCTCATATTCACATGTTCATAGTCTACATCAACTCGTTCCTGCTGTCTTTGATACCAATTACATTTAGTCACAGAAAAGGTCGACCAGCTATTGAATGAGTGCTAATTCAGTTGAAATAGATTACGATATGTTTAGATCACCCACGGGAAGGCAAATCTGTAGATTTCCAGGTGAGTCAGCGGAACTCGGTGGAGAGACAACCGAGACGCCAGAAGACATGTTTGTCGTTGCAGCAGCAACACCAGGCGACCTAGGTGAAGGCCGCGTCTCCGCTGAGGCAGGCGAGGACACTGCATGATTTGTTCCCGGGGATGAGGGTGGTGGAGGGTTTTCCGTGTCTCGGAGACGCGAAGGGGAACCCCTGGGGAGCACAGCACCACCGCCGCCACCGCTTGTCAATCGACTTCGCTTTTTGGGGAACACCGAAAGTGAAGGAGAGGAGTGCGACGAAGTCAACAGCCCTGTTGAGTAGGAGCGGATGTCAGTGAATAAGAGTGATAAGTCTATAGCCAATGAAAAAACCGAGACACCAGTTACGTCCTTTAGTTTACGCGGTTGTTCAATTAACACTCGAATCTCGCACTGCCACAAGCAAATAACACGCTGATTCACACTTCGGGTTCCAGTCAGATGCTAAAACGTCCTTGACACCGCACAGACGTCGAAACGACGGTAGTGTTCGAGGGAAGCAAGAGGTGAGAGTGAGTTCACGTGGGCATTGGAAATCCACGTGGTTCCGTGTTGGGATTTGGGCTCGTGCTAAGAGTGCTTACCTTGGTGCTCAGGATCCGCGTTCACGAGGCTGGATGACGGATGAATCGATTTGACGCTTTTGGCTTCCGCGGTCGAGGGATTTATTTTGGGAGCCTCCTGGCCACCTTGCTGTACAATTATTCCATCCGTGATGGCCTAAAGGAAATGTAAGAAAGGGTCATGGCTAGGTAAAATGGCAGTAGCAAAAAAAACTTCCTCCGTGTAGGGCAACATATTCCCAACACATGCCGCCCAAGAGCTGAGTAATAGTACGTGAAATGCACAGAATCTCTGGTAGCCCGATATTCACGTGATTATAGTAGTATAGACCAGATTAAGATATCACTTTCTAAACACATTAGAGGTAGGTTTACTTTCTCGATTTCATCACCGAGGGTGCCGGTACCAACGCCTCCAGCCGAAATGCCTCCGCTTGTGGTAGAAGGCAAAGACGTAGTCGTAGTTACCACGGGAGAAGACAAAGTGGACGTTGTGGTGCTATAGGGCTCTGGTGACCGGAACGTGCCCGACGCTGACAGAGTCACGTCGCTCGACCGATTGGACGAAGCAGAGGAGACGACGAGTGACGAGTTCAACAAAGAGGACCGGCTAGCCGAAGACGTCGTTTCGGGGGTTCGAACTTGGGAAGATGGAGGAGGTGGAGGCGCTGATGGTTGCTGCGAACGCGAGCTGCCAGAGGACACCTTTCTTGCCAGTTCTTCGGGCGACAAACCCACTGAGTCCAGCTGAAACAACAAACAGCGTCATAGTAGCTAGAGTTTGGAGTTGGACACCTGCGAAACCATTCAACAGGGCAAAATGAGTGATTTAATTAGTGCAGCCGTAGAAGCAACGCTCCCTTCATTCTATCCGTAAGTTTGAGGAAATGGCTTCAGCCGAATACAAAAGATTCCAGTAAGCCAAACTCACATTTCGTGAGGCACTCGCTCGCATCAGAGTAGGGAACTGATGGTGCCCACCGAGCGTCGAATCGTCGGAGTGAAGCGGGAAGAGGTCTCGTTGTGAAGGAATCGGTGGGGATTCGAAGGAGGTTGGACCACCAGCTGACTTGCGATATCGGGGCAGCGGTATTGCCTGTGGAAGTGAGTTGGGCGCGGGAGGATCTCCACGGACCGGCGAAATGTTTGTGTACTGCGGCGGCACCGATGGAGGGACGTCAGAACCAACAGGAGTAGTCCAGGCGTTACGAGAAGTCAGCAAAGGAATCCCACCGGCTGAGGTTGTCGCTGTTGACGACGAGTTCGTTGCGGATGCCGAAGAAGCCGCTGAAGCTGCGGCCGCAATCAGCGAAATGTATTGCGGACCGTATTTCGACTGTTGAAAGGCATCAGGGGCATTGGGTAAATGATTAGATAAGGTTGACGAACACACGATTAGGCGAAATACGACGGGGATCTGAACATGACCATAGCGACGTGATATTTAAGTTCTACATTAGACTAAAGGGCGTCACAGCAGAGAACGCATAACGTCATTACTTGATTACCATCCTGGTACTTTGATATCCTTGTTAGCATCTGTTCGACTAAAAACCAACAGGACTAGACCCAATCTCGACGTGCGGTTAAATCCACCAACGAATTCCTATCCATGCACACCTCAACAATGGGTTGGTGCGGTTTACTGCTGAAACACCTCACAGAAGTTTGATTCAGAGTTTCCGTGTTTTTAGCTGTAAGTCAAACTCATCACAGTAAATCCGCCACAGCACAACTCCATCAACAAATCTGCAAAAACTGCGAAACCAAATTCTCACACCTTACCATGTGGCACGAATATGTCATTTTTAGGACCTTCGTCCTGGTATCAACCTTTGACACCCCAACACCTGACCACTGCCACATTGAAATTGGACTATCCAAATATGTTATGTTCCACAGAAATCTACCATAGTGCTGTAAACTAGGAAAGGTCAAACGATTAGTTAAAACCACAGCGCAAACTGCTGGCCCATACACCGTGTCTACATTCTAGGCTAACTCGGTGATGCAAACTCATGGTAGATTTTGCGAACCCCTTTCCCAACAGTTGAACTTTCAATTTCATTAGATGACAACGTTGGCAGTCATCCTGGGTGTTAACCGTTGTTGAGTAGAGCCTCTTCCTTGCCTTCTTCAAAGACCCAGTTTCCCTCAAGCACCACCGTATTCTTAGAGCTCCATCCGACCTTAACCGTACACCTGATCACCAAGTCATAAAAATATGGACTTCCTTACAAAAAGAACGCCTTAAAAGTTAATACCTCGATCTGCCTACCGGTCATATTTGGTAGCAGGAATGACGAAGTTAACCTGGTTAATCTCGTCGATGGGAGATTACGCATGAGCATTAATCCATTTGGGCTCCATCAACCGAACTGACAGTGTCTCTTCCGAACGTCTAAATCGAAACTGGACACACATTGGATAGGTATCAAATTACCCTTTTCGTGTCACTTCACATAGCTACGCTTGATCAGAGAACCATGTTAACCGGCCCTATATAAACTGACGACTTGTTACCCTGTACTACCAGGCTACTACCGCATCAATAAATCGATCGAACTACAGTCTTCTCCCTTTCTTGACTACGTAGGTCGTCGGCCACACCAGGAGCTTCAACAGACAGTTCGGTGGAAGAAAAGGTCCAGCGATTCCTTTCAACTCGTTTATCACGACTGCGTTACCGACACCACACACTGCCAATCCTACAGTTAACATTTCAGATACCATCCTGGAAGAAAAGGTTCCATTATCGACATCGAATCCTTCACTCACCCTCCGGCAACACCTAATCGCTACAAATACAATTCAGGGGCGACGAATTGACAATCCTACGGTCAACCTTATAAATACCTTGCACCGTCGATCGTACAAAACCTAAGGCCCACCTATCGGAATTTCTGTTGGAATAAGAGGTTCGCCGAATCCTCTTACCAAGGAGGAGAGCTTTAACGATCAGCGAGCAAAGGTTGCTAGCAAATGTGAGCAAATACGAAATTGGTTGATTTACTTGGATGACTTCACATAGCTACATTCCTTCAGAGATCAATGTTAACCGATCCCATGCAAACTGACGTCTTGTTATTTTGTAAAACCACAACGCTATTACCAGATCGTTAGGTATCGACCGCTCCACAGTTATGCGTCAGAACCCAATTAATAAGTACAATCTGAGTGACTTACTGACCTGTGAAAAGGAGTTGTTGCAGCTCACACACTATGTTTCATAGTCCACCCACCCTACAATGTATGGTAAACAATAGCAATGTGAATGACTCACCAGCATCTCATTGACGTCCGTGAGTCCCGCGAAAGACTCGTTGCCAGCAGCGGCGGCGGCGGCGGCAGCAGCAGCGGCAGCAGCGACACTCGAGAACAAGGGGGGCACGTTGTAAGCACCCGGGGCCACAGAGCCACCGCCGCCAGCCATCATCACGCTGAGAACACGCTGTCGTGCGTTGTCCAGGGCGGTGTGCATTTGCTGGGAGGTCTCGCTGCTGGTGCGAGTGCGCATCGAGTCGGAGCGATCTCGAGACGTGTAGTGCTCCACTTCCTCCTGATACAACTTCGCCGCGTGGTTTATGTACTCCTCCAGCTTTGGGTCCAGTGATCCGCTGTTTCCTAGTGGCGACGTCGACAAGTCTTCACGTCGACGATCCACCTTAGATGAAAAAAAACGGCGCTGAGACCAGGATTTAGGACTGGGTGGTGGGCATGGCAACGTCAATTCCCAAGTATCTTTTGTCCAGTGGATTCGACTTCACAGCCGAGGCCTTCCTTCGGACTCCGAAACGAATAAAATGGGGCACTCCAAGCATTAGAAATCGGTCACCTATGCATTCTAGGACAATGCAACATTAACTTAGGCATTTAAATCACAAAATCTGGCGACAATATGAGTTTGTATGAAGACAAGTACACCTCAAACCAGTTCAAACGCAAAGAAAAGGTTTCTGCGTAAAAGACCACAATTGGATGCAATCATGAAGGCTTTTAATTTAAAACAAACCCACTGGTAGTGGATTTCAATAACTTTTATGACAGCACGTAAACTCCAATAGGACACAGTGAATGCTGATTTTTTTCCAAATAACGAGGAAACAGAAGGCACTTAGACCACAGAAGCGAACTCAATGTACTTGCCTCGCATCTATTTAAATGACGCTCCAACAAGATCTAGTTGTTATGACCACAAGCAGTGGTAAAATTGCATGAAAATGGAAAACGGGACTTCGTCCGTAGACTGAGTGGTTCTTCCTTGAAGGCTTTGTGTGACTTTCCAACTCCCCTCCATGGCACCGCTCTGATTCTGTGTGAAGTGAACGCGTTATCCCACCGTCTGGCTTGTGGTTAAAACCCCTAATCGCCACGCTCCTCTTTCATCTTTCACATTAGAGGCGTATGCAACAACATTCACATTTTGTGTTCAGTTAACGTCTGCGCTGCCTACGTCACTAATTTCCTGCTTCCCTTATTTGGCAGCCCCGCCCAAACACGACGCTTACGACCCTGTTGGCCAGTAGGCACGCAGTTATCTCGAAGCGTCCGGCGAAGGGACTTAACTGCCGATGGTGCTTCACATCTTCACCCATGGACGCGTACAACTCAACGCCAGACTCAAAATGACCTCTCACAGGACCGATAAACCGATTAGGGTGGTGAGGCAATCCGATGATGGTGTTCACCTTTGAAATACAACCTTCTGAAGAGCGGTTTCAGTAATTCTGAACAAAATGCAGCACCCGTGACTTTTCACAAACATTCGGGCCAAGTGTCACTAGTGTTTAAATATCTGCGTCCGATTAACGAAGGGAGAAGTGACGTTCTTTGACACGTGTCAAATTTCGTGTTGACAACCCAGAAGACGTGCTACACACACATGCGCGTGTACCTTTGGGGGACTAGGTGAGAGAAGGCAGTAAGTTGGTGCTCGTGCGGGGGGAACATCGCCGTAACCGGCCTGGGGTCCGTAACCTCCGCCGCCTGAAGGGGCACCCAACACTCGTCCGGGACTTTGGCGGGACATGCCTCCGTCAATACCTGAAAGGGCGCAAGATAATATGCCAATGCACCGCCATATAATAGCACAACCTGTAATAGTTCTGAATGAATAGCATACGAAACTAGACGTGATGACTAGAATACCTGCCCGATAGCATAAAACCTGTATTGGGGTGGCTCTGCTGGCAAAAATATCTTTACTTGAGGTTAATTTGGAGTCGTGGACAATTATTGGTTGCCAATTAGAGGAATTCTGACGTTCCGACACCTTTGGTACAACCATTCATTAGATCTCTTCCCATTAGCCGTTACACACAGTGGTGTATTAAAGTTACACTCACAAGATCGATCGTTAGCTGAGGGCTGTGGTGTTGTCTGTCGATGCCTGGGAGGAGGTGGCTGCGGTGGCTGATGATGATAGCCAGAACCTCCGGTCGCCGACGGGGGCCGCAGGTGCCCCTGCTGACCCCCTTGTCCAGCGGAACGCGGAGCCCCCGAGGCCGATCCGGACCCACTGCGTTTTGGAGGCATGGGAAGCGTCGAGGGGTCGATGCTGCGAGCACTTAGGTACGTCGGATCGGTGTAATCGGCTAAACAAAAGACAACCCAACAGTCAACACGAAGGGGCTGTGAAATGTCAGCGATTCCGGGGACTAATGAAGTCGCCCCCGAATCAGTAAATCTCGTTTCTTAGTGAGCTTGAAGCTAAATCTTTAAGGCGGGTTAAATGAGATCCAAGGTTACTGAAAAGACACAGGAGTGCGTACCGGTGCGTTGCAGGCAAGTTCCAGTCATGTTGGCGGAGGCGAGGGGCTGGGTTTGATGCAAGGGTGTACTCCCCCGAGAGAGTTGTTGTGCCGTGCGAAAGTCACCAATGAGGATGGCCTTGCTGTATGCGGTGGCTGTTGGGTCAGCCGATTGGCCAGGGTGTGGCGGCGCAGGTGGATCTCGCGGTGGCGCCTGGGCGTCGGCCTACTCAGATAATGGTAAGCATTGATTACTTGAACCATTTCAACGTGCCAAAAAAGATCTACTACACAATGACAGTCTCGCTTATCCACGGCAGAGCATGAAACGCGAAAAAATGACAATAAGAACTTAGAGGTGAAGCGTTTTGCGATTGAAACTAACGAAAACGGACATAATCTAATAACTCAGAGGTTTGTCCACTGGAGAATCATGGAGGTTGCCACACAATAGATGCTTTTCGATGTTATTCACCGCTATCCGTTCAAAACTTTTGGATTACACCATCCTTCGGATGAATCGACTAGAGTGAATTCGCACACTGGTGAATAAACGAAGAACCTAATATGCCAAAACAACTATCCAAGGATATACGTCCAAATACCCCGCGTCTAGATTAAAATTGTTATGGTACATTGTAGGATGCGAACTTATCAGGCGAGTAAACACATTTCTCTAGTGCTGTTATTTAAATGTCAGATTATTTTCCACACCAAATCGCACTAAACTGCTGAAAAATTCTACCTTATCCAGACCCCGACCCTACATTGGGGCGCAATTTGTAAATGCACCACGGAACAATCATCAGATTCCATAGAAGAACCGCGTCTTAGGAATTAGAAAAAGAGGAGGATATTTGAAAGGACAAACTCACCCCACGATTTCTTGACTGTGTCAGCACTTGGGCCAGGGCCTGGGTGTTTACAGAGAAGGAGGTCGGGGGTGGTGGGGGGAGTGAGTGCGGGCTACGCGGTGGAGCCCCATAGTTGCCTCCGGAAGCCACCGCTGCTGCGGCCGCCGCCGTCGCGGCCACTGCAGCCAGCTGCGGGATGTTCAGGCTGGCGAGCAACTCCGGCGAGATGTTTCCAGCACTCACCGCGCCATTGGCGAGGTTCGCTAGGTGCTCCGGTAGGCCTGCTGCCACGCAGGCGGCCGCAACAGGATCTACCCAATAGGATGAAAATAGCTCTGATTTACCTCTTCCACGCGTTTCCGTGACCAAATCACATGAGATTTAGAAGTCTTTTGGTTAATGAGACTCTACGCGCTGAGGACTACCATCCACGCACACCTGCAGTTGGATGGCTTGACGTGAATCACAAAAACTCGGGGATTTCGCGCTGACGCATAATTGACTAGGCACCGTCAAAATACACAGCCACATGCGTTCGTGGTGAATTGTACACTACCGAAAGACGCACCCCTAGATGCGGGTAGATCCGAGGTGCCGCCATCGGAGAAGGCTGGTCGATTGCCACTTGACTTGCCCGGCAGATCAAGGGGAGTTTGGAGGTGGGATTCGGGAGAGTACACGCCTCCTCCAACCGGCGATCCACGTGTTAAGTTAATGGCCTCCGGAACCATGCCAGAGATGTGTGCGTGATGGGGAGGAGACGTCGCGTAGCCCCGGCGGGGATCAGTGACGGCACCGGCGGGGACCTGCAACGTCTCCGCTGCCCGCTGAGCCTTGGTCGCCGAGTAATCTTTCACGTCTCCTGTTGAGGTGGACGTCTGACTATGAAGTGAGACCTAACATTAGGGCAAAAGACAATTACGTCAACTGGTCCAAAACTTGAAAGAGGTAGTTAAGCGTGAGCAGGACGTTTAATTAATTAAGGCAATGTGGGAATCCAAGTAGGCTCAAAACTTACTCTATGTTGTTAAGAAAATCCAGCTTTCAATAAGAAAACGCTTACTTTTTCGGATTGAGCCATAGAGAAGGCGATGTTAGCATTCCCCAAAGCTCTAATCTCTTATTGAATACTTGCTTACATTGTTGAGAAATTCGCCACAGGATATTGTGCCAACAACGGTGTGTAACTGTTCAAACGGGGCATGAGAGAACACTCTTATACAAGTTGACACATCTCTCGACCGCACAGTGACTTGGACTTAATTGCTCTTTGCAAATTGCTGGGCAGTATCATTCTCATTTTCTGAGGTAGTGTTTGCGTCGTTGTGCTTGAATGGAAGTGGCTCACTAGTGAGTTGCTTTTTTATCGACGTTCTGTTGAATTAAAGCCCGAATATTGATTACCGGTGGAGAGCTGGAGGGCTTGATTTGTCCGCTTGGAGGCGAAGATGCTTCAAATTTCTTCAGCGCCCCCCTTAAAACGTCTTTCATCTAAAAATGAATGCAGAGGGTTGTCATTTGACCGCGAATCAATGCCACTTTCTGTTTCCACCTCTTAGATGTGGGTTAATTTTAAACACAAAAGGCAAAACAAGGCCTTTTTTGTACTTATTTTACTTTCCAATTATGTCAAAGCCTAGCGTATAAAAATGGGCTTGAAGTTTGCGGTGATGATTACTCAAGAGAACGAAGGCATCACAGAGGGTTTTGAATAAGCTGTTCTGGAAATTAGTAACTCAAATTTGACCGGTTTTCACATGGAATGAGTCTATTTGGGTAAGAACAAACCAAACCGATAACTTAGTCAAGTTGTGGTCGCATGACAATGACGGAGATTCCAGTGAGTTTAGGCATCTCAGACACACACACACACACACACATGATCAGGATCACATTGAATGAGAAGTCCGTTGCCTGGTTACCGTGTCAACTGAAAGGAATTCACTTGCACCTCAAACCCAATCAAATCGTGCGGATTTTGAAAGGGATCCTAAAGAGTGATATCGTGGTCCAAGCTGACAGCTGAGTTGTCTCAAAAGTGATTGTGCTGCCGATTCGGTGGAATCACAATGGACGCATTGCGTACTTTGAGGTGCTTCTAAGAAACCAAACGACCAATGCAGACGTCTACCGTCTTCAACCAATGAAACCGGAATAATACCGTGAATGAAGGAAAAATCGATCAGAAGTGGCGAAACAACAAGGAATCACGTTTCACCACGACAATGTAAGGCCTCACACATCTTCGATAATGCGTGGAGAATTATTGCACCGTGTTTGGGAGTGATGTCGCATCTGCCAATAGTGCTGACCTTGCACTGTCAGATTGTCAAATGACAGTTACCTGAAATCACACACGATTCGATGCTTTTGCTGATGGATTTCCAAATGTTTTATGTGCCGAATCATTGAGTGATCAGAAAGATGGCAAATGTCCATGGAATACAATGGAAATCATGCAACTGACTAAAGCCCAATAGTTGCATACAAAGTGCTTTGCTCTATTTCACACTACAAAAACAAAAGTACAATCCCACCAACCAATCAGGAGCAAGGCGTTATCGATTTTTTAAGGCGATGAATTCAAAAAATGGATGGACGTGGGCTTGACTTATAACGTGATTCCCCAGCCTGCTAAGTTAGGAAAAGGAGTCTAACTTGAGGCGTTGTGGGAACGAAACCGGATTAGTGCGAAATCGCTCACCTCCTTTTCCCTATCTGAAGGTGGTGTCCCGTTGAACGTCTTCGTTGGAGGCTGATCTTCTGGCTTTGCACCAGTGATTGGGATTTCTCTGTTTTCATCTGACCGTGGAGCTGAAATAGACACAACATCATGAATGTGTGAGATATTTTAAGAAAATAAACTCGGAAGCGAGACACAGTAAACACAAGCCTCCTCCTCCTCCTCCACAAGAACTACTGGGAAAATTAATAGCCTAGCAGTGAATTTTATGACCCATGATGATAGCTTAGCAGTGGGTTAATTATGAGTGTCAGGCAATGGGCGCTACTTGTGCTTGGCGCAGATGTCCTGAAGAAGAATAAGAAGAAGAAAGCAATCACATGAGCATATTTCTCAAACACAACCTACTGTTTGAGGGAGTCGAAGTTTGGCGTTTAGTAGTAGTTTCCGGTGGCGCCGACTTGTCTGCCTCCGAGGCACTCGTGCCAGGGGCATCTTGAGCTGTCGCATTGGCCACGGACGGAGCCTGTGTGGGCACAGGTGTTCCCGAGCGGCCCTTTCCGCTCCCCTTTGTCGAACGATGCTCTCCGCCCCCGCGGCGACCCGACCGGCCACGAACCGAGCCGCCCCCGCCACCGCCTTTTCGATGGCTGCCAGAAGTCGACGTGTGACCATCATCGTTCTACAACAAACGCAGACTGAGTCAATCAACTAGTCAAGAGGCCCCGGCTTATTACACGGTTTACAATAAACGAAAGGTCAACGAGTATAGTTGGTGTACTGCCTCATAACACAGAAGACGCGGTAAACAAGCCGCCTCACCTTCGAATCGGTGTGTGGAGAATTTCTGTGATCCTCGGCGCTAGGCGTAGAGACCCTGGAGGGCGCCTTCCTTGAGGCAGTTCCATGCGAGGGACCCGTGGGTCCGTTCTTATCCGAGTGCCCCGCCCTTCGCCGGCGCGAGGTGCTGTGCTTCTTCACCAGAGCCTTGTAGCCCTCGGACTTCTTGCTCAAGTAATAGTAGTGTATGCACTCGGCCACCGTCTTGTCCAGGCTCGCTGCAATTGCGGTGAAATTTTTGGGCGTCACGAGGAAACGCTCCTTAAAGCGGATCTTCTCCTCCTTTGACCACTTGTCTAGTGACTGGGCTCTCACGTGGTCCGATTTCGGGTCGGTTATGCGGTGCGCGGTGCAGAGGAAGTGATACGACTTCTCCCAAGGCGCAAGTGGAACCGGCGGATCGATTGCATACTCCTGCGTCGAGAGAAGAGGCAGTCAAATCCAACTTTTGTGCGATTAAATAGACTTGAGGCTTAGAGCAGGTGCATGGAAGCAGTGAATACCTATTTTTAGCCACAAGTAGCTGTAAGCTCCGATAAATATACACAATGAATTGCATGCAGCTTGTGGCCACTGAAAGAAGGTATGCCATACAAAGCGTCATTACAGTAGACATGGCAGCTGGAAGTCCATTCGTGTAAGGATTTGGGGAAAACAAGTGTGCCACTGATTTATTCTAGACGCGATTTCCAGGTTTAGATGTACCACAAGATACCCCGCGCAATATTGTCACTGAATCACAAAAAGAACAAATCTATGACAGCAACCTTAAAACTAACCTTCATTTTTGAGATTTCTTCTGCCAGATCGTAAACTTGGTCGCCGTCAGCTCCGTTTGAACCTGTGTTGGATCCTGAGTCTAGGGTAGATAGAAAACATGCAGAGAATTCATGGGGAATTAAATGAAGCCGTATTTTGCAAAACTGCAGATAAGGGCAACTGAGGCATAGTTTACCTAATAAGTCATAAAAATCTGGGTATACAAGTGTAGCAATTACGGTGCCTGCAGGACGAATGAAGACACAAGAGCGAATGAGGACGTGCCATCCACAGACATTTCGAACTCACCAGGTCCATCGTCAGCCTTGTTGCCCTCTCTCTGGCCCTGTTCTTGATCCTCGCGAATTTTTTTCACTTCCGGGAAGGTCTTTTCAAATATCTCACGGTGTTTGGCGTCCTTTTGTTTACGCTTAGCGCTGTTCATCAATTTCTCATGACGCTTGAAAAATACCTACCGAAGGCAGCAAAACGTAATGCAAAACACCGAGAATGCGCGTCGAATTTGCGTGGGTTATAACGACGGGGAGGAGGTACGTGAAGACTTCAACGAGTGAACATCAACAGCCTTTGCTAAGCAGTAATAAACAATAACGCAGTTTATTTCATTTCTATGGCACCTTGATAAAAACATTGCTCATACAATGTAACACTGGAAGGAGTCTTTTATTCTGTACAACAAAAACACTCCATTAAGAAAACACACCACCAAGATTACTCTGAGGTGATCCGGATGACTTACTTGTGCATTTCGGGCGTACTGATTGGCCAGTATTCGGAGACGCGCCTTCTCAGCCCGCTTACGCCGATGAATATACTTGATAAGTTGACGACGTAAGCCGTTCTTGTAAATCAGCTGGACTTTTTGGAGTGCTGGAAGGTCTGAAGGCTGTCTGTAGAAGGGCAGAGCGCATGGACTGGCACTCACTGCCTTTCCACAAAGACGAGCTAAACTCTCGTGTTGCTTCTTTGCACGGGCCCGTGTCTCCGATATGAGAGCCTTCAATAAGATGGCCAAAAGAGAAACCATTCAGGTCCATCAGAGTAAACAATAAGTGTGTGTGTGTGTGTGTGTGTGTGTGTGGTTGTGATGCATCCACAACGGGAGACATCATTGCGTCGTTGGAGGATCTAGCAGAACAAAAGACAAACCTGAATGGGATTTTCGTAGGCGCGTTCATTCTCGATGTCCGTGACCGAGAGGGCCTTGGTTCGATGCGGCACAGTTTCCGTTTTGAGATCGGCAGTTAGACTCGACTCACGATCCATGAGGTAGCGCAGTTGGCCCTCCTCTTTGTTGATGCGCGCTTCAATTTCGTGCAGACGACGCTGCAGTTCCTCGCGTTCCCTTTGGAGCTTCACCTCCACGGCATCCAACAGGCGTGCCTCCTCTGGCGCCGGAGATATTGCCTCGACCTAGTGTTTAGAGTGCGCCCAATTTCACAACTACCCTGAATTTTCTCATCAAGGCCTTGCAAGATGACAATATTAGGGTATCTATGACAGCTAACCACCACGTCTGATTGAGGCATCCTTGAATATTTCCCAATTGGATGACGAAGTCGATAAGATTCACCGTGGGAATCATCCGAATGATGTCAGTTGCCGATCTCAATTCATTGATTAAGCTAACAGAAGAACGCTCTAGTACGTGTATACGGAAGACGTTTCACAGTATGCATTCAATTTCACCAGCTGGGATAAGGAACAGTCCTCTATCCAAGTTATCCAGTTCAAATATGGCGTCAATTTGGTAATTCTCAGTATTATCAAGTGTCGAGTGCAAGGACGAAGAGTTTAAAGCAAAGACGGACATAGTCACGAACCATACCTGGGGGTGGTAGGCGGGCTCCTTGGTCTGCTGTCGTAGGACACCGCTTCCACCGGACATCACGTTTCCAGTGCCGTGGGGGTGGTAGGCAGAACTGGCGGTGGACGGAGCGGTCTGCTGGGACTGCTGTTGCCGATAGCCCCCGCGTGAGGAGGAATTGGGATAGCCTGTCCTGCCCGTTGGCTGTTGCTGGTAGCCAGACGTCGCGGATGAGGAGGCCTGCTGTTGAGCTGCTGCCACAGCCGCTATATTGGTATAGGCTGCCGCCGCTGCTGCTGCTGCTGCCGCTGCAGCCGCCGACGACGACGACGACTGTGACAGTGTATTCGGTGAGGACACAAGAAGCTGTGACTGGAAAAGATACAGTCAGAGGCTCCTTTGTAGATGATTAGCATATCATTATTTTCGTGCCATCCCATCCTGTAATTACCGGATTATTCATCCCTCTTGTACCCCTCAATTTGTCCATGCTTGGCCCCTACCCCTTCCCGTACCTCATAACTATGCCTACGCACAAACCACACAGACTCCGCATGCCTCATATTTGCCGTCTTCCCTGTACTCTGGCACAACGGTTTTTACCAAATGGTACGATCACAACGTTGCCGTTCATACATTTGCAGTTTATCAACACATAGGAAAACGAGTTGACTCTTGACACTAAAATTATGTGAACGCGACATGAAAAGTATCGTTGATGAAACTCAACTATTAGATAGCTGTAGCATGTTCTTACAGGTCAACTGCGCTTATACCGTGTAGCAGTATGGTTGATTTGCACAACAGCCATCCTGTGACATTGTAGTCAAGATCTAGGCTGGTTAATGCTTTTCTGTGATGCTATACATCCACGTAGGTCGGAAGTATGCCAGTTATTCGACGCGTGGAATAGACAGCTTTCTCCAAGAAAACTTAGTATATTGATTTTCGGTACCATGATAAATATATCAGGCAGCCAGGACAACAGTACGTACTCCAGGCTGGCGCTGGCCAGTACTTCTTTGTGCATAGGCATCAGGCAGTTGGTAGTAGCCGGCAGGTAGGGATGACCTGCCCCCAGCAGCCGCGGCAGCTTGCTGTTGCTGTTGAGCAGCATTCGTGAAAAGCGCCAATATGGCAGCACGATTGCCCACGGCGTTTTGGAGAAGTTGTCTACTAAGAAATTCTTGCTGTTGTTGACGGGAGGAAAGTTGAGGAGGTGGCTGAAGGGAATAGGGAGAGGAAGAGGAGGAGGGAGGGGCCGCTGATGGGTTTGAAGAGGAACCGGAGATGAGACGAGGTCGCTTTGAAGATGGTGCTCCTGAACCACTGAGCGATTGTCCTCGTGTCTACACAAGCACATAAAGGAGTGGCTTCTCCGTTAAAACGGTTTTACGCATGGATACTCACTATTATACCTAAGCGGAGCATTCTGGATGTAAAGTGTGATCAGATACCCGCCATAAACCGTGGAAAACTAGTTCTAGGGGTTACTGAAACGCGGGCCTCTACCTCATAGTGTATGAAGTCAGCCTAATGACGAAAAAAAAAAACATCCGCTTCCGTCAATTTCATTGAAATTTAAGAAAAGTTGCCTGCGACTGCAACTGAATCCTACCAAATCCTGCAGGCCTTCCGTGTGTGCCAAGTGAGACGCCGCGACAGCCGCAACGTACGCTTGTTGGAAATGAGGATTTGCGGACAAGGCGGAGTAACCACTGGCGCCAGCGCCGCCGCCTCCAGCAGCAACGCCAGCGACAGGCGACCGAATGGACGTTGAGGCCGAGGAAGAAGGGCGATGGGGATAGCCTGCGGCCGCGACGGACGCCAGCTGATCGGACAGCATCTGCTGGGACTGAACCCCAGTGCCACCGCTGTACTTCACACCACTGGCGGCGGCGGCGGCTGTGGTGGTAGTGGCACGGTTCTGGCCGTATGGAATGGAAGTTGCCGAACCTGGGCGACCTTTGAGTACAGGAGAAAAGCGCTATCTGAGCCAATCGATGTCAGAGGTCAAACTCCACTTGGCTTCAGTTGGTGGAGTGGACTAACCAGAACTTATTAAAGATTCGATCTAGGAAAAGCAGCTTGGTAATCGACATTCTTTCTGGTCTCGGAACAGTAGTCCTAGCTTTGGACTGCCAAACTCAGTAATGTGGTACGTTCAAGCATTTGGAATTCGCCTAACCGCGGACAAGTCTGGTGTTGGCGTTGTGGCCTGTACAAATTGCCATTAAGACAGGTAGCTCCAATCCACATAGCCCTAACCAATCAAATGCCATGTCTTGGTCAAATTATTTGCCTTGAGTGTATCGTGCACTGGCCACGAGAAAGAATGCTCAATGCTTGAAATCTGCTTGACCACAAAACCAATAAAATCCACGTTACTAGCTGCACATTATACGACTTCAACTATCATGGTGCTGCGATATTGAAAAGATATCTATTAATAAGGTCAGGGTTACTGGAAAGGGTTCAAAACAAATCAGGCTTTTAGTTAGGAATGGCTTCACGGAGTAAACGCTTTTTTTTTACTATTCGCTACTGGAAAGGGTTCAAAACAAATCAGGCTTTTAGTTAGGAATGGCTTCACGGAGTAAACGCTTTTTTTTACTATTCGCTTCAGCCACATTGTAGTAGAATTCGCACACGAAAACACCGGGAGTGTTGGTGAAAAGGACGCGACTGATAACTGACACGGTGCGTAATCAAATTGTTGCATCAATGCCTCCTTCGGATTGAGACGCGTTGCCACAACAAAAAAACGACATTCTAGTTTCCTTAAAAACGCCTTTCATGACATATCTGCAGAAGTATTTTTTTTGACGTGCTGGAACCAGCTTGTCAGTGCAACCGGAGAACGCCAATCGTGTGCGCCGGCTGTTTGAGAGGGTAATTTGACCTTGAGAGAGCGTGTGCACAACAATCCCATCAAGAAAACTACCACCTGACATCGCGAAGTTGCGCCACTTCATAAAACCACCGTAATAAACACGTTGAAAGACAGGTGACGCGTGAATACGAGGCGTTTGACTAACCTGAAGAGCCTTGACCGGTGAGGCCGGTGAGAGAACCGCTCGAGGGACGGGGAGCACCGGTCTGAGGCGACTGTTGGTGGGGGGCGGGGGAGCGGGCGCGAGATGAGGACGTCTGGGGCACCTGTGTCCCCAGCATCTGCGACTGAGCTGCCGCTTGCTGCTGCTGGGAGTGTGCACGCAACGTCTCCAAAACTGAAACACGCAAGTAGCCACAAGAAAAACGTAATTTCGCTTCTAAACAAGGCTACAGCTACTCCATACCCGACCGGCTTAGCACACCAATAACTTGTATGATGCGCCTCTATTACAGCGACCTTGGAGTGCGGGGTTAAGCAGCTACATAATTAGTGGCTACCGTTGGCGATGTCAACATTTGCCAAAACCAAATACTTTTTTCTGGGTAAATATCCCCAAATTTCCGTGACACGAGATGCTATCTGAACAGTTTAGCAGAGTCCCATCTGGCCGCGATCGAACGGCTCAGATGTAAAAGCATTTACAGAAATTTGGGTTATTTGTAGGCACGGCTGATGCAAATATCTAGAGTGCAAAGTCCTTCCCAACCTGTCCATAGATTAAGCAATCTAGATATCGTTGTGGTGCTACATTGAGGCATCATAAACACCATAGTTATACGGAAAACATTATGCTGAATGCATATAAAAATTTAAAGAAAAAAACCCGAACGAAACACACTATCCAAATTTATTTTGGTAAAACGACGCCAAAGCAGTACAGCTAATAGAATTTGACTTAACAACAGTCAAAGGTCATGAGGAACTGTGTAGAAATAACAGACCAGTAGTTGTAGTCTAAATTCAGCATAGATTTTGACACCTTAAAATCACATGCATATATAAATGACAGCCACAAAGGTGCCACCCAATGTCGGTAACTTGGTAAAGGTCAAGTACAGCAATTTAGTTTTTGATCTTACGAGTTTAAGACACACGATTTCCAGGATTACACGACAAACAACGTGTTGAAGGAAGCGATGTGGAAAAGCAACTTGCCATTTGGTCAGTCAACAAAACGACGTATGAGGACAGGAGGGCTTAAACAGGAGGTAGCTGTCAAACGGCAACGTTCACCAAGGACAGAGTGGGGTTTGCTAACAGGTTTGTGGATCGTCGTACATCACCTTTGATGAGTACTTATTATGCGGGTGAGGTAGTTTTAGATGAAGCAAAATCAATTCTTTATCAAAAGGTCATTTTAGTGCGGGTTTCCCGAAAAGGCCACCTAACAGGAGCGTAGACTTAAACGTTGTAAAAAAATTATGTGCTTGGGATGATAATTAGGCACGACGTAGCAACGACTCTTGTACGGTGTAGTGGCAGACAAGTTGTGTAAATAGCCAAAGTCCATAAAATACCGGGTCAGCGGATAAGTAACGTCTGTTTTCCATTCTGCCTCCTACTGCAGTCGCATTAACTAATTTATAGCAATTTCAACCGAGGTAATGCTCACGACTGGATATTTTCCCAATTATAGCTACTTTTACCGCAATTACAAAATTCACTACAAATCTTACAATCTAACACTACTTGTGGACCAGTCTGATACGGTTAAACGAATTCTACAAAATACCCCTACGTGAAATTACAGAAATATCAGAAAAGTCTAACTCCTTTCTATGGATTCTCAAAGCCAACAAGGCTACAGAAAACTCAGTATAATCAGCATTCAATGGATTGCGTCAGGCAGTAGACAGGTGTGGGAATGTGGCAGTCTCCTAAGCCATGTGTTTACAACAATTATATCACTTTCCTTAGGATCTTAACTGCATCACAACAACAAGACGGCGTGTTAAAATAATGTCCTTTGATGGCCTATTCTCTGAAAAATATCTCTAGCTCTTCTGCCTGTCAACTGAGTTTGACATTTTCACTTCGTTTGGGTTGCATTTTCGTACACAGAAAAAACAAGGCAGGCCTCAGGTCGTGTTTGTGTATCATGGATAACGATACCAGTGCTGGTAAGATTGATGTCGCCAAAGTAAGGTGAATAGCACTTGAAATAAAATCCGTCACGTGGTCAATCGTAGTTCAATAGTTCAGTCAACCGAAGGCGTATAAAGGTAGTCATGAAATGGCCTTGATTATCAGGAAAAAAACGCAATCTAAATGACTAGTATTGACAACAGAATATTGAATCATTTCGAAGTGATGATTACTGTGCAGTTGAGGTCCTGTTCAGGGACCTAAGCTAGTACCCTACGAACGTAACCAAGTCGGTACGTACATTCAGCCCGACGACAATTAGATGGCTAGGGTAGCCAATAAGCTAGTAGTAAATTGCCCTTATCCGTGTTAATACTTTGAGGACGTTGTATAGATTGAAAGGCATCCGAGGCCTTAATAGTAAATTCTACTTGCGTCTACTCATTTTCCTCCTTATAAGGGTAAATTGTTTCGTTCTGTTTAGAAAATTTAAACTACCTCCTCTGAACTTTGACAGCTCCTGAGGTTATTGAAAATTCAACTCCACTTTAACAAACCTACGGCTAGCAACGGACAGGAATAGGAACATGGACATTATTAAGGGTTTGAATGGACCTCCAAACCATCAATATTATCGCTAAGGGTGTCACTAAATAGCGATGCTTAAGTGTCCGAGGGAGGATTCGAGGCAAGAGTATTTTACAGTTTACATCAGAGTAAATTCAGCGTTATACTTACGTGGGAATAGTGCACCGGGGTTGGCACGAGTCAGGTTACTAAAAAACTCCTCCAGACAGGGTTGTGTGGCTTGTTGCTGTTGCTGGTGATGCGACGGCTGCAGCTGAGGTTGTGAACGTAGGGGAATGCCGCCAGGACCGGAGGCTGGCGGTGGACCGCTACGTGTCAAATTGAGCCAGTCTAAGGAAGTCTGATCGAGCAGTGGATGACCAGCATTAGCGCTACCACCACCAACACTGCTGCGTCCATCAGGGAACCTGCCACTGCTTGCACCACTCCCTGGCTGACCACCACCGGGTCCTGCTGAGTAGGCACCTCCCATTTACACCGCGATTTTAACTACAATAATTAAAGGTTAGCAAGTTAGTAAGTATACGGGAAGGTGTAATTTGGCCCGTTTCGACAAAACTGGCACTAAATCCAAGAAAATTTCCTGATATGTGGGGATATTTTACAGATAATCAATAGTCGGGCAAAACCAACGGTGCTAAGATATGAAAGAGTGAATACACTGAAAACTTTAAATGCTGATTGGCTTATTCGGATAGCATTAAGACGAGGTGACTTTACAACGATGCCTAGTGAACAAGCATTCAGCTAAACAATATGCACCACGAACAACTAGCCAATTACTTAATAACCAACAGAAACAATCGATGAACCAATGTTATATCTGTGGGCGCATTAATGTAGGGTTGCGTGACTTGGGCTCGTACGAAACTCCTGCTTCGCCCTATTATGTCTCAAGGCGATAAGAAAACCAATCATAAGAAAACACATGCAAGACTAATGTGAAGACTAAATAAACCGGTGTCAGCCAGCCTTCTGATAAAAACTTGGGAGCTTCCAGCATACTCACAAGCCCATACATAATTTTCCATAAGTCCATAAGAAAGACAACAGCAAGCACAACGGGTGGTTTATTAAACAGATCCAGTTTCCCAAAATAAAAATGTTTTGCAATATTATGCGTATATCAGATACGTACTTAATACTCACAACATTAAAAAAAACATTTAGCAAAAGGCAATGAGTGAGGTGCTATTCGAAAACCACAAAATCAAACTTGAAAACTGCTCCCCACGTCTATAGCAGTAGGTCTGGTTAGGTGACATCGCATGGTTAAGTTTGTCACCAAACGCCCACAGCGTTTCTAAAAAATCAAGCTTTAATACTGGTCGTGACAGATCGGAAAAATATATTTTTCTTAAATAAAGCTAAACAGGTTCCGCCAACGGCAACAAAGGATTTATAATTTAGTGCAAATCATTTAATTTAGTTCATCTAACCTTTAAATTCAGGAATAGTAAACCAGCAAAGGATTTCCCACAACCAAGTTTACTCGATAAAAGTTAACACGGAAGCAGCATACAGCGATAAAAACACACAGATTTTAAAAACTATAAATTTAAATCTAACGTCAAGACATACCAATAAAAGAAAGTCAAAAGGAAATCCGGTTGACTACGTGAACAAAAATCGCAAAATGGCTCCACCCGTCTATATTATATTAAGCACGAACGCAGACAAACTCCGCAATTAATTACAATGAAGACCAATCGTCGTTACTATCGTAAGGATAAAGCATGTCAATATAGAGGTGGCTTTAAATGTTCACTCAGTATAAGTCTGAGAAGCATTATTTACACTAAACAACCTGTAAATCTTAAATATTTAAAATTTTTAAATATTTAACTACTGTTTAGTAGTGTCACTTTCAATTTGTCAAATCTCTTTTATTTTCTACTAAATCAAGGAACGAAATAAATGCTTTTCTCAATTTATTCCTTTAAATAATTTACAAACACAGGTATGCAGCAATTTTAAGGGTGTATGACACATTTGTAAGCCTTTTAAAACAGACCAGTAACCCACATTTTGTAATCTCCGAAAAATTGCCGACGTCCTAACTGTAAGAACTTATCGGTGTTTTGTTGTAATTTTTAAAGTCTCCAAGCCTTTTTCATTTAGATTACTCTACTCGCATATTGTAAACGAATACTTTATGATTATTGGCTTGATAAACGTAATTCAGTGTATTAACAGTTATTGGTGTCTTACAGACCTTTAAAAAATAATTAAAATTTTTTGCCATATCATGAAAGTCACAAGAAAGAATCGAAAGTGATTTAAACTTACTTACTTACTTTACTTTAAATTTGAGTTAATTTTTAATACTTAAGCTAAAAATATTTGTCAAAATATTTTTTAGCGATGTATGTAAATATGAATTCAGATCATTTCTAGTCATTAATTTATTGCTCAATCTTGCAATCAACTGCATCTAACCACTGCGGTCATTTAAATTAATTACCATTGATCATCGAAATCTAAGTAAAGTGTACAACATAAATATTTTTAACAATTTTTGGTTTCGGTGGATAAATTGGCTTACTATGTCGCGTATTTTCTTCAAAAATCGAACGAAATTTCTCAATAAATGAAAAATTAATGGAGCAAAATTTTATTTTGCATATGTTGGTAAGGGAAACATGTGTAGTTTGGCCCATTCGATGAGCGTGGTCGTATTGAATTCATTTTCTTTGTTTTTAACTTTCTTGCTGCTATAGAATTATTTTGTTATTTTATTTTAGGAGTAAATGGTATGCAACATTTAGATTGATTATTAAATATGTGCCATAAGCTTCTCTGAATGCGATGCAGATAAATAAACTCACTTTAGTGTTTGATGGGTGACTTTTTCGTTATGCATTTTGGAAATGTAAATGCAACGCGAGGTTCCTGCTGCAGGTTGTACAAATTCTGGTGAAAACTGTTTAACTTGTATATCACGATTTAGCTGTGTGGTACTACTTTAGAAAACTAAGTTTTTTTATTGCATCGTAGCCAGCAGGAGAAAAAGCATCAAAGGTTTTCTTACCAAACGTAACGTAATTTTTGTTACCTAATATTTTAGAGTAGGCAGTGAGATTTAAAGTTGACTAATTTTTTGAACCCTTTGTTAATCCTAAAAGCCCACTTGTTACTTGACACGCAGTCTAATCGTGGCAGAATTTTTGTTACTTAGATTCATCAGTCAGGTTGCTAGACTCTTGCCCGTAACAGCTGTAAAATTATTTACATGTTGTTTATCTATATTAGGGGCCAAAAGTAATATCGACTAAGTATATTATGGAACTGACCTTTACATGGACATCAACTGGCCCAAAAATAGTGTCGCAATGGCTCTCGGCCTTAGAACAAGAACACGGGAAGTTGATTTAGCACTACCCTTGTAGTTGTTAGTTAGACGCAGCTGCTGCTGAACCATGTTGTTTGTTGATACAAAGATGACATCAATAGACAGAGCCACACGTCAGATGTAACCATTTATCCACCAGCAAGACATACAAACTCCACAAATTCAACAAATCAGAGTCAATGGTCAAATTTACGAGACCAGTTAACTCGTAGCCAATGAAAAGCGTCCGTGAACCGCTTCGTAATCGATCGCTCACGCAGACAGATTGCGCGGGATTTCGGAGTAGCAATCGATCGCCAATACGAGTGAACTCGTCTGGACGTAGAGTAAAATCGATGGCAACGAAACAGTCCTCTACAGGCTAAACAAATCCTTGGCAATGTCTTACTTCGTTTTCACCTTTAAGGAATGCGGCCAGCTGAGTTCAATTATTCTCGCTTTAGCCGAAACTGGCCAATCGGTGAGCCATAAATGTACATTGTGCATGGGAGAACTCATAAACTTGGCGTAATTACAATTATGAAGAAAGCCATCGTCGGAAATGCAGAGCACTTTACTTTTTTTTACTTTTCATCAATACACTTTTTGCCAAGTTCTTCCACGTGCCCCTGTTGAATTGAGTTTGTTCTCCAACACGTCCCGTCGCCCTAGTGGCAGCAACGTGGAGCCCTCATGAATCAGTGTGAGAAACTACCATTTAGTTTTGGTTAGCATCATCAAAAACCGAAATATGCCGTTTTCAGAAATGCCAAATTGCCATGGCGGCTTGTCCGGGCATAGGAACTGTAAAGAGTGCAATGAAACCACCAATTAGACACGCACACACACATTCAACCCCAAAAATTCGTGGTGCTTAAACGGACTGAGTGCATCTAACGAGCCTGTGTGATGATCGTGAAGATGCTTGTGCCATCAGAAGGTTGGTGTGCAACGCTGGCTTCAAAGTGTAGGGTAGATTGCCGATTGATGCATTTTCCAATTGGTGTCCATGCTATTAATGAGCCATCGATTGATCGACAGGCCTGAACCACAAGGTGTGTTTGCGTTTGGTTGATAGGTGGCACGAAAATGCGGTGGTTTTTGGTTATCAAGAGCGAGATAAGGAAGCAGCTGCCGTGCGGGCAGGGGCGACATCTCCCACAGGGCGGGGGGGGGGGGGGGCGCACGCTCCACCCC